ACAAGTGAAGGTTTCAGAGCTTTTCAAAGCTTTTTAATTAGTTTTCACATCTTTAAACACATTCGATGTAAATCACCACTGCCATACCACTGCATGCTGTAGTCTAAGTGGTGGTAGGGTGGAGAAAATAAATCAGAATTCCACAGCTAGGAATCAGATCTATTAGCAAGATAATCTATTGTGCAGCCCATGTCAATAACAGTTGAGCAAATCAGTTGAATGAATGTGACAATGTCTGATGTTTTTGTCAGAAGTGTCAGGATAATAATCTTTTGATTGGTTGTTGCATTCTTGGTGGACATACACACAGATATTATCTTTATTAATATAGAGGAATATATATATCTATACTGTTTATATGAGAAGGAATCATTACCCTTGAAAATTGATCCACCAAACGAGTAACATTATTACTACTTTTAGACAGCTACTCGCACTTGAACCATAAACAAGCCATCTATTGCATGCAAATGTTATTAATTCACCCCCAATAATCATACATTTAGAATGAATCTGCTGTAAAGGATCTCACTGTTTGTAAATACAGAGTTTAGTTTGCTGGCAGAACCCTACATGCAATATAAAGCTGGTCCTGTGTTTCATGGAGCAATGGTGTTTGCTGAACTCTGAAAGCCAAAAGCATTCAGAACGTACATAGGATTCTTAAGGCCATGTACAGAAAGCCCATTCTAACTTTCCATCATGAGAACAAGAACAAAATTACATTTGTTTAACACCTTTCACGTCAGGAGGACGTCCCAAGGCGTTGGACAATCAGTATTTTGAGCCCGAGTTGGGGTTCAGGATTGGGGAGGGTGGAGGTCAGTGGGAAAAGGAGGGTGATTGACGGCATGGTCAAAGAGGAGGGTCTTGAAGGAGGCAAAGGGAGGGGGTGAGGGGGAGGAACTGCGGGATGGAGTTTCAGAGGGTGGGGGCAGAGGGCCTGAAGGCCTGCCCACCAATGGTGGGACGAACGAGGGAAGAGACGTGAAGCAGGCCCAAACCCGCTGAGCGGAGGGAGCAAGCAGGATCAGCGAGTAGGGGATTAGGAGGTTGCAGAGATAGAGGGGAGTGAGGGCCGTGGAGGGCTTTGAAGGTGAGGACCAGGATCTTGAACTGTATCCTCTGTGTGATAGAAAGCCAGTGGAGTCGGGGGAGGATGGGGGTGATAGGGTCACGGAGCCTGGTACAGGAAAGGACACGGGCTGCAGAGTTCTGGATGATCTGTGGCCTGTGGAGGGAGGAGTTGAAGAGACCAACAAGCAAGGAGTTTGCATAATCGAGCCTGGATGTTATGAATGCGTGTATGAGGGTCTCAGTGGCCTGCGTTGTGAGACAATGGCGGGGGGGGAAGCCAGAGCGGGTCATGGCACAGATGTGGGGTAGAAAGTATATTTGAGGGTCGAACGAGACGCCAAGGTTCCGGACTGGCCCAGTAAACTTTCCATCATGAGAATACTGACTCCGGTTGATGACACATTGTTGGCTAGAGGCCATAGTACCAGGTTACTTTCCTTTTGGCATACTGCGTACACTCAGTCTGTTAGTCGTAAGAGAATGAAGAAATTTATTATCAGCATGATTTGTGCTGCACAAGAACTTCCAGTAAACTTCTTCCTTTGAAAAAGAACACAACTTGCTATCATTTTGATATAGTGTTTAAGCCGATTGCTTTTACAAAGCGACGGACACAGCAGTACGACTCAAAAGGTGAATGGCTTCAGCTTAATTTAATGAATCACAAACCCTACTAAAGCTGCAGAATCGTGGTTCAAAGTTGTGCACAGCCCAATGTCCGACAAACAGCCATGAAGCGAATGACCAATTTTATCTGGAGCAGTGTTGGCCAGGACACTCCCTCTCTTTACAAATAGTGCCAATAGAATCTAACAGCAATCTTAAACCCATCACCATGCTTAAGAGTGTCCAAACAAAGCTGAGATTTCCATGCACCCCACCTACACTTGGAAATTCCAGACATAGGTTGCTGGAATGGAATGTGCACTGTCTCCCTGTAGTGACACATCCTGCTTACCTAATTCCAGAAAGTATTAGGCCCAGGTTGGATGCTGGAATCTAACCAATTAAAACCACATAGCTTGCCATTGATACCGCTGTCCGGCAAGCTTTCCCGCTGCTTGTCCAGCCAGGACCTCCCTATCCATTAGGGCTTTGGCTTGCAGGGCTAACAGGAGCTGAATGGGAAGAGTCTCTGCCCCCAGTGACTGGTCTGCCTTTCCAAGTCCTGCCATTGAGCCAAGTTGGCTGTGCTGTCATCAGGAGAGCTCTGGAGCACTGTGGACCCACCTGGCTCAGAAAATAGACTACCAAGACCCCCAGAGAGGGTTGGCTTGATTCCAACATTCTGTTTCCAAACGTGTCAACTTAGAACCAGTTCAGCTCCAAGGAGAACCTACTTACTCTCCCCTCCCTCCCCAAGGAGGATAGTCAGTTCGGCAAGTCTTGTGTCCTCACTAGGTGGTTGGTAACAGCAACTCCCTACAAACTTCCTGGTGGGCCACACAGCTGAGCATGAAATGTGTGAGAATTATATGACTAGTCCCCTCCTTCCCGATAATTCTAATGGTAAGATGCGTTTAGTTCTTCATTATACAACGCATTACTATAGCTTTGCTCCACTCCTATCGAGCATTTAAATTGTCTCTGCCTCTCTCAATTGTTCTCAACGAAAACATGTTGTAGCCCAGAAAGCTGTCAGTTTCTATCAGTTTATCACTAATATGTAAACAGAAAGTTTCAGTGGTGATGACTATGGGAATAAAGGAACATGCAGAGTAAAGATAGACAAATAAGATGTGTTACAATGACCAATCAGTTCCTTATTTTCAACTGCAAGCACCATCTGCAGTAAGAGACCCATAGATGTTTCAGATCTTATTTCAAAATCAGCCAAGTGTCGATGCTTCAATGTAATGCAGACAGCTGCTTTTAATGTCTTTTCCTTAGTGCTAATTTGAATGGCTGAAGAATGATCAATGATCAATGGCAATCATTCCTATTTCCAGTATTGCACTCTGCATAGTTCATTGTCTACATGATTGTAGAAAGAGACATCATTTATGGAATAGCGTATATCAACACCTGAGATTTGCTAAACCTATTAAAACAAACTTTCAGAAAGCTTTAAAAAAAGTCCCTCTAGGAGAACTGAATTTGGTTTGCAAATTATGATTGAATGGAACAGACTTTTGATGCTGTCAACTTCACTTGAGTAAATCAAAGCACAATTGAAAGTTTGAATAAAGGATTTTCTTTTACAGTTTTGGTTATTATTATTATTATTGTCATCATATCTGTCTTTGTTGGATCCTAATTTCCTTTTTCCGGTCGATCAAATAAATCATAGGTCATGCCCTCAAAGCATACAATAACAATAATAACTTGTACTTGTATAGCGCCTTCCATGTGGGGCAGCATCTCAGAGCACTTAACAATGGCGGAGCTTGACTCCGAGCCGGTGGTAGGGAAGATGGGAGACTGAAAGCGCGACTTCCAATGTTGGTGTGAGGGACAAGCAGGAGGCTGGTGCCAGACAAGTGGAGGTAACTGGAGGTGGATTGGGGAGTGAGGAGGTCGGAGAGATAGGGAGGTGCCAGGGAGCGAAGCGATTTGGACATGAGTTTGAGGACCTTGAAGTCGATCTGTTCAGTAATGGGGAGCCAATGGAGCTGGCCAGAACTGGTGAGATGGGGATACGGAGTTTGGTCCGGGTCAGTATGCGGGTGGCAGAATTCTGAATGAGTTGGAATTTTTGAACAGCGGAGCTGGGGAGACCGGCGAGGAGTGCGTTTGAATATTCCAGGCAGGAAGTGGCAAACGCATGCACGAGGGTTTCGGCTAGATTTGGGGTAAAATACGGTCGGAGGCGGGCAATGTGGTGGAAGCGGAGGAAGGCGGTCCTGATCAGAGACCGGATGTGGGGGATGAAGGACAACTGGGGGTCAAACCGGACTCCTAGATTGCGCACTGGTTCGGTGAGTCTGAGGCAGAGCACAGAGCGGTTGAGAAGTTTAGATCTGCAGAAGTGAAGATGTTAACGGGAGCCAAAGAGTATGGCGGACCCGGAGTTGATACTGGAGAAGGCAAAATAGATTTGTGTGTATTTTGCCTCCTCCAGTATCGACTCCAGGTCCACCGACAGAATGTTTGACAATGTAAACCTCAGTTTAGATGCAAAAAAAATTACAGTAACAAAAGATTATTATATTGTAATGATGTCTCCTGGTTCCCTTCCAACCATGGACGAAACGTGACAGAATGCAACATAGAAAGCTGCTCTTTAACGTCTAAGATTACACACCGATGATGAGAGAGAGGTGTCAGATGAGGCACTCCATTTAAAAGAGGGAAGATCTTTCACATCTGCCATCAAACAGCTCCTTTATTTTCATTTGATGCAACTGCAGTTGTCAGATGCTGTGTCTGACAAATTTGTAGCCAACTATTCAGATCGTTTCCTGTCCAGAAATGTCAAGATAAAATGTCAGGGTCATTTCGTTGCTCTCTCTGTGGTATGAATTAGACTTAACAAACCGATCCATAGCCAATTTCCTTGCATTCTGAGGGGGGGGGGGGGGGGGGGGGGGTGGGGGGGGTGGGGGGAGTTTAATTTTGTTGAGACACTGTATTGCTTTTGAGGACTCCCCTCCCATGATTTGGTCGATTGCAATAAAAAGGAATATGGACCGACGAGAGTTCCCAGCAGATGGTTAGTGTGCAACAGTCTGTATGAATTACCTCTATCTGCACCCGTGCAAATATTCTTCCAAAGCCTCTTTCGCCATCAAACCCCATCGCTCGACCAGCACCACCTCGATGTAACGTTGTATCCTTTGCAAAGTGGGAGTTTCTGGGCTGATGCAATCTGATTGATGGCCAACGGTCGATATAATTTCGTTCCAGTGTGTGATCAGCTGCAGCTCTCACCCAACACCAACCTCACATCATCCGAGAGACCTGCAGCTGCTGCACCAGGCGGTCGATCAGCAATCGATCACTATCAAATGGGGGTAACTGAGACCTCAGGGTGGGACTGGGGCATCTGGAACTTCACTCGAGCCGGTGTCTCCCTCAGCCGTCTCCAGAACGAGAGCTTCACCAAGTCAAGGAACAAGACCGATCCCTTTGGGAGGAATGAAAACCTGGCCAAGACCGAGATCTCGGTGCTTGGGATCATCTTCCTGGTGGCAGTGATTGGGAACCTGAGCGTGCTCATGGCTCTGTACAAAACCAAGAAGAAGATGTCTCGGATGCATCTCTTCATCAAGCACCTGAGTGTGGCGGATCTGGTGGTGGCGGTGTTTCAGGTCCTGCCGCAGTTCATCTGGGACATCACCTACCGCTTCAATGGCCCCGATTTCCTCTGCCGGATCGTCAAGCACCTCCAGGTCCTCGGCATGTTCGCCTCCACTTACATGATGGTCATGATGTCTGTGGACCGTTACATCGCCATCTGCCACCCGCTGAAAACCCTCCAGCAAGCAACCAAGCGCTCCTACCTGATGATCATCACCACCTGGATGGGCAGCTTCATCCTCAGCGCCCCGCAGTCCTTCATCTTCTCACTGAGCGAGATCGAGACGGGCTCAGGGGTGTATGACTGCTGGGCCAACTTTATATTGCCCTGGGGCATCAAGGCGTACATCACATGGATTACTGTCAGCGTCTTCATCATCCCTGTCCTGACTCTAGCAGCTTGTTACATCTGCGTCTGTTACAACATCTCCAAGAACGTCAAGTACAAGACCACCAACAACTCATCCGAATCCGCTGTCAAGAACGGACTGATAACCTCTGGTGTCAATGTCAGCAATGTCAAAACTATCTCCAAAGCCAAGATCCGGACTGTGAAGATGACCCTGGTGATAGTCCTCGCCTATATTGTGTGCTGGGCTCCCTTCTTTAGTGTCCAGATGTGGTCAGTTTGGGACCAAAAAGCTCCAAAGGACGGTAAGTGAGATTTGGGATAATATTATTATTGTTGTGTTTTGTTTTCCTCGGATGTTCTCAGCCCTAACGATTCTGATTTGTAACCATTGGGATTCTTAAGAAGATTTCTGGAAAGGCGTTTTTACCCGGTTTGCATAATGTGAGCAGCTGGAAGAATAAACTATGGCATTTTTTGAAGTGCAATTTCGAGAAGACGATGGGCTTTTTGTTTTTTTTAAAAAAAAAGGAATGGCAGATTAGAAACTTAGACATGTGCAGACTTCTCTTGTTTGAATGTAGCTACTTTTTCAGTCGCAATGCATTTGCCTCCTTTGGTGAGAATAACTAGAGATATAATACAAAACAAATAAAAATATATATAGATTAGTCCCTGAGGTGCTTAACAATGCTCAGATGGCACCTCTTTTTTATTATTTATCAGCAGATTTATTATTGTATTACTTTTAAATGTAGTAACCCTTGCCCTTTACTAGCTTTTATTCTGAAAAATAGATTTTTTTGATAATTTAAAAAGAACATTCCTTTTGCTTAGTTTACACCTTACAATAACAACCCGCATTTATATAGCGCCCCTCAAGCAGGGCAGTATCTCAGAGCACTTTATCACTCAAGTTAAGCAATGTAAATTAAACAAATTGTACATGAATTAAAATAGGTTATTTTACATATGAATAATAAACTTTGACTCATCATGACTGGTTTACAAGGCAGATGTTTAAATGGGGTTTTGCCTCACTTTTGGACCCACAGAGATAATCCATTTCTATAGCAATCATTTTATCTTATATTAATTTGTTTGAAGAATATCACATATTAATGGTTGATTGAATGATTATATGGATGTGTACAAACAACCCAGTTTGTGCAACTTTGACTGTCAACTATGTCAACCATCCTGGGCTCTCCCTCACACTCACAGAACCAGTGTGCAATCCAGGCATCGGGTTCAACCCCCAGCTGTTCTTGCTCCCCTACATCCAGTCCCTGACCAGGACCGCCTTCTTCCACCTTTGCCATATTGCCTGCCTCCATCATTACCTTACCCCAAATGCAGCTGAAACCCTCGTGCATACGTTTGTCACCTCCCACCTGGATTACTCAAATGCACGCCTCGCTGGTCTCCCCAGCTCCACTATTCAAAAGATGCAGCTCATTCAGAACTCTGCTGCCCGCATACAGACCTGGACCAAACTCCGTACCCACATCTCACCAGTTCTGGCCAGGATCCACTGGCTCCCCGTCACCCAACAGATTGATTTCAAGATCCTCACACTCGTGTTCAAATCCCTTCACTCTCTGGCACCTCACGACCTCTCTGACCTCCTCACTCCCCAATCCACCACCCGGCACCTCCACTCAACTGGCACTGGCCTCCTGCTCGTCCCTCACACCCTCCGCCCCACCATCGGAGGTCCCACTTTCAGTTACTATGCCCCGAAACTCTGGAACACTCTCCCTCAATTTCAAGTTCTACCTGAAAACCTTCCTCTTCGACCGTGTTTACGGCCACCTCTCCCCCCACCCCCCATCGGTTCAGAGTCAGGCTCCACCACTAATAAGCTACAACAACAACAAAATTACATTTGTATTGCACCTTTCATGTTGGGAGGACATCCTAGGGCGCTGGACAGTCAGTGTTTCGAACCAGAGCTGGGGGTCGGGATTGGGGAGTGTGGAGGGCAGTGGGGGAAGGAGGGTGATCAAAAGCACGGTCAAAGAGGAGGGTCTTGAGATGGGTCTTGAAGGAGGCAAGGGAGGGGGCGAGGCGGAGGGACTGTGGGATGGAGTTCCAGAGGGTGGCGGCAGAGTGGCTGAAGGCCCGCCTGCCAATGGTGGAGCGGGCGAGACGGGGGAACATGAAGCAAGCCAGAGCCCGCTGAGCGGAGGGAGCAGGCATGATGGTAAGGGGTTAGGAGGTCACACAGGTAGTGGGGAGCAAGATCATAGAGGGCTTTGAAAGTGAGGACCAGGATCTTGAACTGTATCCTCTGTGTGATGGGAAGCCAGTGGAGTTGGGCGAGAATGGGGGTGATGGGGTCACGGAATCTGGTGCAGGAGTGGACATGGGCTGCAGAGTTCTGGATGATCTGGGGTCTATGGAGGGAGGAGTTGGGGAGGCCGACAAACAGGGAGTTTGCTTAGTCAAGCCTCGATGTAATGAATGCGTGTATAAGCTACCCTGTGTGGAGGGCGCTATATAAATTTAATCTGTAAATTGTATTGTTGTAAAGGTGTTATATCAAATGCAAGGATTATTATTCTTAGTATTATTATTACTAGGATCATATTAGATTGGCATTATTTATTATTTAACAGGAAAGGTGCTACCCTATATATTTGTTTGTAAATTTGCTGTTGTTGTTGTAAACGCTTGTATTTTGAAAAATAAATAAAACTCACCATTTTTCTCCCAACAGAAAACAAATGACTAATTGAGTCAAATGTCCTGCTTCTGTGCTTTATCATTATATGTAACTCTATGTAACTGAGTCTTAAGGTCCTCCAGAGGATTGCTTCATTCCTACCAGAGGACTGACTCTCTTCAGCTGTTGTGCGCCACAGTTATGCAGGTCATGGCAGAATGACTTCTGTGGTTGTGAGTTAATCTGATTATCAGGTTTGCTCGCTAGAGCTGGGACTTCCTGCTCCCTGATACCTGACTCCCTTGACCTGGCAAGTAGTGGTGCAGAGGCATGTAATTGGAATTTGGGAGCAAGGAGTAGGAACTCTTAGCTCCAACTCCTTGGTCTGACACTAGCTCAAAGTCTATCTTTAAATGATGTTAAGCTTCTCGTTTCTATAAAAAGAAAAGTTTATTGATATCTCCTGTCAGTGAGGATACGCACATTGTTCCTAGCGACACTAACTATCCTCACAGCTAGCTCCTGTAAATATACTAAAGAATGAAAATCAAAGTACGAGAGGTTAGAATCAATTAAGATACTTTCATCCTAAAGGAAGAACAGTGAAAAACATAAATCTTCTGGTTGGGGGGTAAACTGAAAGTGACCAAGTTCAATATCAGGTCAAGCATGGCAACGTACATTGATTATTTTATGATCTTCCCCTCCCATCGCCCATCCAAATCATCAGTAAATATTTGCTGAGAAACAGAGTAAAACAATGAGATGACCTCTCACTTCTGCTGTAGCTCATCCGTTGCCACTGCGTATGAAAGGTTCTTTAAACTGGGTTCTCATTCAGAGTCAGTATGTTACCACAATGGAAAGCAGGAACTTAAAAAGAACAAATGCTTGAAATACATTTACAAAAATATGCCGCATACAAGAAACAAATAATTTACATGTCAATTACCTGAAGCAAATCACATTTTCTAGGCTGAGAATCCAGGGCAGTGCTGGAGAGGGCTACTTGTTGGAGGTGCCATCAATTGGATGTTAAGCTGAGATCCCATTTGCCTATTCAGGTGGACTTTGAAGATCCCAGGGCACTATTAGAAAACAGAAGGGAATTTCTCCCGTTGTCCTAGCCAACAACCCCCCGAAATAAAATTGGTCATTCATTCCACAGCTGTTTGGAGGGTATTGCTGTGCACAAATTGGTATTTGCCTACAAGATACACAGTCACTGCATTTTACAGTAAATCTTATGAAGTGCTTTGAGATGTTTTGACAATGTGTTAAGAGGCTCAGCACGCATTTGAACATGTTTAATAATAATAATCCTGGCATTTGATAAAGCGCCTTAGCACATCTTCAAGACGTCACAAAGCGCTACACAGAATATACTGTAAAGTGAATTGATTGATTATTTTGTGGACAAAATAATGAAAAGAATATGAAGGCTGGTACAACAGGATATTGGCAAAGATCAAGATATTCAAAGATTATTTAAAGTAAGCACAATTGAAAGGAAGTACAAGCTGTACTGTACTATTAGATGAGTTTTGAATGAAATGTTGCGTTCACTAAGTGCTCCTTCCTAACATTGTGAGCAAGCCTGCAATGAAGGACAGAGGTTTTCGTCCAATGAAGAAAATAGATAAAAAGAAGCTTAAAAAGTGATGCATTAAGCGTTCCGAGATGCCATCCAAGATGAAAGGCATTGTATAAATGCAAGTTGTCGTTGTACATCGGCTTTAGTGTGGATGGATGTAATACCGTTTTAGATTTTATTGTTGAACATAATCACAAACTCAGAACCCATAGAATTGCCCGCAGGTTTCCTCGGTTATCCATACCTGTGAAATATAAAGTTTTATTACACTCTTTCTCACAGATTTATTAATAGCCTTCAGTAAGGTACAAGAGAATATATTTATTTTTTCCCCTATTTCAATCCCATGTTTTGAAGGCAGTGATTCATGCTGAAGTACAATTCAAGCAACCTTCACAATCTTGCCAAAAAGCTGTGCTTCTAGTGAGACTAGACAGTGAGTTTCATAAAATAATAATAATCCTTTCATTTGATATAGTGCCTTATCACGTCTTCGAGACATCTCAAAGCGCTTCACAAAATATTCTGTAAAGTGAATTGACTGTATATTTTGTGGGTGAACTGTGCCAGTCAATTGCGCACAGCAGTGTCCCACAAACAATCATAGATTGAGTGACTAAATTATTATTTTTTATACTTTTTTTTGAAGGGATTATTATCCCCGGAAAAGCGAACCGCTAATCGACTAACAACCTGGTCTTATTTACTGGTAGGTAAACAGAGGCGGGTGGAGTAATAAAACTAACTAGCTTAACATTTCGCCCTGCCTGGGAATAGAAACTAGATCCTCTCGCTTGCGAGGTGAGTGCTCTAACCATTACACTTCAGGACTCCACATTGTCTACTGAATTTGTATTAGAGTTTGAATGTGGAAAATAAGAAATAAAAGTAGGAAGCTCACAATGCATTTATGAAACTCTTGAAAACTTTATTTCGGGATTAAATCTATCTCACCCTATCTATGATAGAAAAAAATAACTTCTATCTTTACAGTATCTTATCACATCAAAATATCTCAAAGTGATTTACAGAAATGATTGTTGTGAGTTGACTTTTTTATTGGCATATATGGCAAAGATTATGCACAATGCAAGATCCCACAAGCAGCTGTTAGATGAATGATATTTTTTATTTGTAGGCTTGGCACCCAAGATCCTGGGAAAAACTCTTTTCCCTCTTTCATAGGATCTTTAATATCCACCTGAAAACAGGCAGATGGGGTCTCAGTTTAACATCTCACCCAAAAAATGAAATGCTTTCCCCAGAGTTGCAACTTGGACTATAACCTTACTTCCCACCGAAGATTGAGGCGCTGAGTTTAACCCCAGACATCTGTTTTTGATCTTACTGTATTTTGAAATAAACATTGATGCAAATGACTAGAGTTTCCAATTTAGTTTGGAAACATTTCAAACTGTGTTTATTCCAAATGGAAAAATGGGACATTTATGAGGAATGTATTGATCCAAGCATTTATGTTGTTGATAAATCAACTGCTACATCATGTACAATTTGGACGGACCTCATGGCAGATTCACAGTCAATCCCTTAACTAAAAAAAATTCCTGCCATTTTGCCCGAGGAAAAACTATTTCATATCTAGAGTATGGAATTTTGTGCTAGTCAGTTATTGGGTTGGCAACCATATGCACATTACAAAAAAGACTAGACACATGTTTAAGAGAGAATAAAGTTGAAGGATATGTGGAAACAGTCAGGATATTGAACTAGGGAGTCCTGTAGCTCAGTGGTTAGAGCACTCGCTTTGCAAGTGAGAGACCTGAGTTCAATTCCAGGCAGAGGGCGAAACCTTGGGCAAGTTTCCTTACTCCACACGCCTAATAATCCTCCAAAACCAAAAACAATAATAAATTGGTCATTTTCAATCTACGACTGTTTGTGGGACATTGCTGTGCGCAATTGGCTGCCGCGTTCGCCCACAAATATACAGTCAATTCACTTTACAGTGTGTTCTGTGAAGCGCTTTGGGACGTCCTCCCGACGTGAAAAGCGCTATATCAAATGCAAGGATTATTATTCTTATTATATTATTAGGGAATGGTTCTAGGATCGGCATTTGTATGGAGTATAAACACCGGCTGGACTGGATAGGCCTAATAGCCTGTTTCTGATATGTACTTAATATGAATCTACTATTTCCTTCCTCCTCTCGTAGGGGATATTAGTACTTTTTTCCTTTCACTGGAGTACAGTGGCAAGAATTCTGGTCACCCTCTAATAATTCACTGCAGTATCATGTGTGCCCCTGGACAGTAAGCATTGGCAGGCGGTTTGATTGTGAGGGCACCACAGCCGAGGCTGATCTTGTCCTCACCCAACCTCCTTATACAAAGATCTGGAGAAGAGGGCTTTCGATGGAGATCAGGAATGGAAACTGAGGCCAATTGCAGTAACTTTGGATCAGCTGGGGAATTAAACATTATAGACCATTCCAGTCTGCATGATTGCGGAGGGTTTCTCTAGTTTTTTTTGAATGTGTAAAATGGTAGACTGCAAAAAATAGTTTAAAATAATCTCCAAAGTGAATATCTTTCTACAAATTGTTGGGTTACCAAAACAAACTGGTCTAGTATCAATATACTGTAGAAAGAACCTGTTGCAAGCCAAATCATTTCACAATTTCCTATTCAGTTACTCAGCAACTCATGTTATAATGGTTCCCCCTATTGAATCAGCTCGGATGTTGCACCTGTCATGTACCAACACATGTGAAACATTGCAAATGAAAGTCTGTACTTCCCCACTTGTTACTCATACCTTTCATAAGATAAGATGTGCAAAATAACTTACTTCTTCTAAATGTGTGACAGCTGCTAAATATTTTACCTTAAGGAAAAGGAGAGTGGAAGAGGTGTAATACTTAGATGGGTTGCAACAATATGAGTGAAGGGCTTACGACTGTGTAAAAAACAGTCTAAAGATTTTTCTGTTAGTGCTATCATAATTTTCAGAAGTGCACATAAGACTTAAAGCTGTGATGCCACAAGCCAGGAATTAAAAGCTTTGATCCCACTAATAATAATAATGATAATGATAATAATATTCCTTGCATTTGATATTGCCCCTTTCACGTCAGAAGGAAGTTTCAAAGTGCTTCACAGGATATAGTCTAAAGTGCAGTAACAGTGGATTTTGTAAGAAAACGCATCAGTCCACAACCATCAGTCCAGAGCTATATCCTGCAAGCCATCTGTGCAAAGCTATGATCCCACCAGACAGTATTCTAAAAGTATGATCCAATTAAGCCACACTTTGAATCCCAATAACTTTGTTGCTGTGTTTTGCAGATTCCACAGACACTGCCTTTACCCTCACAATGTTGTTGGCCAGTCTGAACAGCTGCTGTAATCCATGGATCTACATGTTCTTCAGCGGTCACCTCCTGAGTGATGTTTCCAAATTTTTCCCCTGTTGTCATAAGTTCACGCAAAGCCTGAAGAAGGAGGATTCAGATAGCATCACCAAACGGCACACTCTACTGACTCGGCTCAGTCACAGAAGCTCGACTCTCAGCTCATGCAACTGGAAGGACACTGAAACATCGCCTCAGTTACTCCGCTTTATCCCAATAGAGACTTGAGACAAAATAATCATTAGGAAGACATGCTTGGGCTATGCGTATATGCTTTGATATTGATCAAAGCTTACCCTTGAGTTTGTAGCACCTACGTGATCCAAGTGGCTGATAGTAATTTGCTGGTAATAACCATGCTTTGAACATGAAAATATGCTGGAAAAAATTACCCCTTGTATCCCTAAGAAAATGCCTCTGATGACTTAAGATGCATGATAGATGAAAACACTCAGTAAATGTATACTTTGCAATAGGTATGTCATCTTTCGAAAGGATTTTAAAATATTCTTAAATCTACTGGATGATAAATCTCTACATTACTGTATTGTGTTTCATCCAAATGAATAAGAATTTAAAGAGGAGTTCAGACTTCAAGAATGTGGTTATTCCTAAACATCTCTGAAGCTCAAATGATAAATCGTGGCAGAGTTCTATAGTTCTATATTGTGCCAGATTAAGTGGCAATACACAAGATGGATAGAAAAGGAATTTGTATGAATCAGATTTCATCCAAGAAGATCAATCATATTACCTGTATATCTATATAGTTTTACAGAAATTATATTAAATTGTAGAGTTAAACTGGATGTTTTAATTAAATGTCCTTTTGCTAAAATAAAGGTTTGTCATACTGTAATAGTCCAAGATTACATTTTATTAACATGTTATTATTGGGTTTTTAATTTTAAAACACATTTATTTAAAACCAAAACTATTTGTAAAAATGCAAGACTTTTGGTGACTTTTTACATTGGTAGTATGTTCTGCTAGAGAACATTGTGCTGGTCAGTGGATCATTAGGACTTCAGGTTAGTATTCAATATGGCACGTTATTCACTTCTACAGGATTTATAAGAGCAAGAGCTGCAGAGATATAAGATGGTTCAATACAAATTTATAAAGCACCTTTCACTGTCAGGAGGACATCTCAAATCTATTGCATAAGCATAGAATAAGTTGTGGCAATAAGTTGAACTTGGGCAGAGAGAAAAAGGGAATAGCCCGTGAAGACTGGTGGAGAGGGGGAAAACAAACACTAAAAATGAGAAGAAGTTACATAAAAAGAGGGAGATCGGCCTGCTTTAAAAGGTACTATGGCAAAAGAGAACCTGATTGATAAGAGAGAAAATGCCAGGAGAAAGAGATACAAGATGGGAATTTCAGAAAGGCAGATCTATATAGGCAAGAGCAGGAGAAAGGGAATGACACCTGACACAGAGAGAGAGAGACACACACACACAGTGGCTTGTTTGCATGTGTAAGTTCACATGTTGACAATGGGAGTAAAAGTAGATGACAGAATACACCTGAACTGTCTGCCTGTTCAGGTGGATATTAGAGATCCCATGGCACTATTTGAAAAGAGAAGCTAGTTTTTTCCAAGTGTCCTAGCCAACAATCCTACAGTTAAGTTGGGCATTTACAACATGGATGCTTGTGGAACATTGTTGTGCATAAACTGCCTTTGAGACATTTCAATTACATGACAAACTGCTATATTAACTAGAAGGATTATTATGAACTATTAATATGTGGTAGTACAATGAATTGAAGTGTTGGGGTATTGTCATCAAGTGATATATCTGCAGAGTCAAGAGATTAAACATGGGGAAAGAATGAAATAAATGCAGATGTGTTGAACAAATGAACAAACTTTAAGCACGGGACTATATACAACTCCCTTAACATTATCACTGATCTTAATCCACCTTTACACAATACCCAGAAGCTATTATAACATACATAATGGAAAGAAAATACACAATGGTAATTTACAGCTACCTCTTGAGTGAAATGTATGTAACAACTACACCATATTCTAGCTGTATCTGTGGAGTACATAAAGTATTGAAATTTGTGTTTTCTCATTGATCAGATTCCTCCAAATTGATTTATTCTTTAGCAACATGTGTTATGTGAATTGTTTTGCAATACATTCCTTACATTGTAATAAGCTGTTTGGATATTGTAAATAAAATTGATTTCTGATTATTATAGATGTTGCAGATCATTTTGTTGATTCGAATGAGTTTCGTCAACAGGGTTTCCCACTTGATAAAACTTTTATCGGATTTTCCAAGCTTAAACATTTGTCTAAAACCAATAAATCATGTCAGAGAGTGCACAGGTTATCAGTCAAAAGGACAAAGGTGACTCACTGAGCAGCTCTGAACACCAATGATTCTCATGCTCTATATGACTGACTTAAGATAATTGGTAAATGGTAAAGCAGACAGATAAGACTTCAGTTCAACATCCCATCCAAAAGACAGCAACCCCAATGATTCAGCACCGAACCCACCCCCCCCCACCCACCCACCCACAACCCCACCCCCCAGCATTGCACTGGAGTATCAACCCAGACTGTATAAGTTTAAAGTCTGGATTTGGGGCTTGAACCTACAGAGAGGAAAGTGCTAGCAGCCAAGTCAGGCTGACACACAATAATCTTTTTTCGAAAGGTTGCCTCACAGAAATTCTCATATTCAAAGAGGTCATTTAGCCCATTGAACTCAAGCTGGTGCTAACTCATCCACTGAAATGAGTTACTCACACTACTGGAACTAATCACATTACATGCTCTTTTTCTATAACTCTTAATATTAATTTTCTTCAAATGTTTCTCCATTTCTGTTTTAGTAGAACCAGTGTTCAACCAGTGTCACTGAACGTTTTACTAACCTGAGCAAAATGGAGCTAGTATACTTGTATTGGCTGTAGTTTAGTTATCTGGCCAGTCATTGATTTATGCATTTTTGTTTGAAGGTATGTTCAAAGCAATTGCTTAGCCTTTGCTCTCTCTTAAATTCAATCTAAAATGAAAAACATTGTTGTCACAGTAAATTATTCCATCAGTCTGATCCCATAGCCTTTGGTTCCACAACCATAAAGTCTTACACTGGGCCAATTTTAGTTTAATTCCTGTTTAGGATAATTGCTCAGATTTAATTTAAATTCATGAATGATGTAATACCACAGCAATTGCTTTGTGTTCTCAAACGTTAATGTACACGATTTACGGAGTTATTTGTTTTATGAAGTTACTTTTTAAAAAAAATACTTATTGGCATACACACAGAAAGGCAATAATGGGGCTTAAATTAAGAAATATTCAATCGAAAACATTTATTTTGTTGGCTGACCAAACATGCAATGTTGGTGGAGTGCTGCATTGTCAGAGGTGGGTCAGTCAATTCTATGGGATTGGCTAACCAAGTAACATAGAGGGTCATTGTAAGATTTCACACTGGGATTACATGATATTAATTAGTGGCTCTACAGTAAGGATATATCTGACTTTTTGTCGTCCTCTATCTAGTCAATGGACTTTCAGGTTCTGAGCAGATTCACAGTGCGATTCTTAGAGAATTGAACAGACAGTGGTGGAGTACTTTGAACTGCTGACAGAGTCGCTTTAAGCAAGTAATTTTATTCATAGATTCTGGCAACAAGGTAGCTTTTCTTGCAATTAATTCTGCACAACAAAATAACTGCAGTGGTAAAAATAGATGTGCACCCTTTGAAATGGCTCATCTGGCAAAGAGGTTTATCGAGTACCTATATTTGTTTTGTTAGTGTGTTCATGTCTCCAGGATAACGCAGCAAGTAAGTCACTGCAACTATTTTCAAATTAATATCTATTATTTTATTGTACTGGCAGCACTTTAGAAGTTCTTCCTACATCATTTTATTAGTTTTCAATTACTTGTTAAGCAGGGTACATCACACTCTTGTAAATCCTAGACAACAGTGGACCTTGAAAATGCTTCCTGAAAGCATTCCCAAAAAGCCACTCTTAAAAGTTTAATTTTCTGTAAATCCCACCCCTAGATTTAAATTATATATAAAAAGATACCTGAAGGTGTGACATATACAATAGATTTTTATGGTCAATACCGTCCATTCTTGACAAAACACAATATAATTTGCTTTAAAAGTTAGGACTTAGAAAAAGTACTGGTGACACCTTTACAAACTAGCTGTTCTTCATCTACTCCAGTGCAAGATGTAATCACGGTTTCTGCTTCTGATTTCTGCCTAGTGACCACGTTGCAGCTCCAGGTAAGGGCAGGAGTGAGGTTGTCTCTGATAGCCCACTCTCCAATGGCCTCCCTTAGAATCATAGAAATTTATACCGAAGTAGGTCACTCGAACGATCGTGTCTGTGATGGCTCCTTTAAAGAGAAACTGGCCTTTCAATCCCATTTGCCTTCCTTTTTCCCTATACCTCTGCAGTTCACTTCTTTTCAGATATTTATCTAATTCCCTGCGTAAAGCTAACATGGATTCTGCCTCAAACGCCACTCCTCATAAGGCACTCTATACTCTAACAACTCTGTTTGAGAATTATTTTCCTGTTTGCTCTCTTAAATTGATGCCTCAAGTCACCAACTCACCAACCAGTAGAAATAATTTCTCCCTTTGATTCTAACAAAACCTCTCATAATTTTAAAGATCGCTGACACCCTCAATCTTCTTTATCCCAACACCCCACGGTCACGGTTCACATATGAATAAGACAGCTGCTCTCCTCAACAAAGTGCGACAGTCATCTGCTAATGACCCATTCTCTAGTACGAGTTAATAACCACCTTTAGGAGAGAAGCAGAGAGAAACAGGTGACAAATACTATTGAGAAACAAATACTTATAATCCTCCTTAATTTTCCCCACAGGCAGGCCACTGATGAGTACATTTATTTGGCAGTTCTCTTCTTGGCTTTGATGTGTTTGAAAGAAAAACCTCAGTAAATCTTGACCTGCTTACATCTGTGATTCAACATTGTTAAAAATTGCCTTTGAAGCCAGTTTCAGCCAATGATAAGCCAATTATTCTAATTTGGTCCTACCCCTAAAAAGGAGGATGACAACTGAAGAAAGAAAACAAAGTGAGTAAAACATATCAAGCAGCAGTTTCCCAAGAAAATACCTTGGGATATCCTCTTAGCACCTTGGAACGTCCTCCTAACATGAAATACATTATTTAAATGTTAATTTGTTGTTGAAAAGAATGTTTAAAAGAAAAAAGCGCTTTGGGACGTCCTCCCAACCTGAAAAG